CCCTTTTAAACAATCAATAGATCAAAAAGTATCACAAAAGAAATTGGAAAATTCTTAGAGATGAAACTGAAAACACAACATACCAAACTTTATGGGATGCAATGCTAAGAGGAAGTTTATAGCTGTACATTAAAGGGAAAAATATTATATTAAAGGAAAATTAAAGGAAAAAATGTGAAATCAACAATGTAAGTACAGCTTAAGAAATAAGAAAAAACCCAAAGTCAGTAGAATAAAGTAAATACTAAAAATTACAATAGATGGGTAGTAAAGATTATAACAAAAATGAAATCAATAATATTAAAATAAGAGATAAAAATCAGTCGAGCCCAAATTTGCTTTTTTGAAAAGGTAAACAAATTCACAAATCATTAGGTAGAAGGACTAAGAAAAAAAGAAAATGATTCATGTTTCTAACCTTATAAATGAAAGTGATACTACTACCAAATCTATAGAAATAAAACAGATTTTTACAAGAGAACTACTGAAAATTATGTGGCCATAAATTGGATAATCTAGAGAAAATGAATATGAGTTCCTAAAAAACAAATGCAATGTTTACCAAGACTAAATGATGAAGAAATAGAAAATCTGAATAGATAGACTTACAACTAGTAAGGAGATTGAATCAGTAACAACAACAAAATTCCTGACAAAGAAAAGCCCTGGACTTGACAGCTAAACTGTAAATTCTCCAAGATATTTAAAGAAGAATTAAATCAATCCTGCTCAGACATTTCCCTACAATTTGAATAGGAGGGAACATTTTCTAATTCATTCTATAAGACTAGCAATAAGTTGACAGCAAAGGCAGACAAAGACATTGCAAAAACCCTATAGACCAATATCTCTTATGAACATTGATGCAAAAATTCTCAACAAAATACTAGCAAATCACATTTATCAGGATATCAAATATATATATAATGATGTAGTTGGATTTATTCCTGAAATAAACCAATTGTTAATGGTATAGCATATTAAAAATTATTGATATAATATGCTTCATTAATAGAACACAAAAACCACACCATGATCTATCTCAACTGTTGGCAGAAGCATCTGACAAAATTCACCATCGTTCAAGATAAAAGTAAAAAAAAAAAAAAACAGATTTCAATAAACTAAAATAGAAGCACACTACGCCAACATAATAAAAACCATGTAAAAACCCGACAGAGATCATGTTGAAAGACTGAGAACTTTCCTGTTAAGATCAGAAACATGGCAATCACACCTATGTTTACCACTTCCATTCAATATAGACAGTGCTGAAAATTCTAGCCAGAACAATTAGGCAAGGAAAAAATAGTAAAGGACATCCAAATTAGATAGGAAAAAGTAAAACTATGTCTACTGATGCTATCATCCTCACATGTAGAAACCCTAAAGATTTCATACACACAGTTAGAAATAGGGGCTGGCATTGCATGACACAGGACCTGTGATGCCAGCCTCTCATAGTGCAGTGTCAGCTGCTCCCCTTCCAATCTAGTTTCCTACTAATGTGCCTGGGAAAGCAGCAGAAGATGGCTCAAGAACCTGGACCCCTGCCTCCCACATGGGAGACCTGGAGGAAGTTCCAGGTTGCTTGGCTTTTCCAAGTCCAGCACTAGCCATTGCAGCCCTTTGGGGAGTAAATAGAAAATGGAATATTTCCTGCTGCCTCTGTTTTTCCCTCTCTCTGTTACTCTGACTTTGAAATAAAAATAAATCTTTAGAAAAAAAATCAGAAATAACAAATTCAACAAAGTATTAGGATATGAAGTCAACACACAAAAATCAGTTATATCTCAACTTTATTCTTTTTTAAAAGTAGCTATTTTTTTACTTTTATTTTATTTGAAAGGAAGGGAGAGACAGAGAAGTCTTCTATCTACAGGTTTACTCCCTAAATGCCTATAACAGTTAGGGCTGGGCTATATTGAAACCGGAAGCCAGGAACTCAGTCTGGGTCTCCACATTTCTGGCAGATCCCCAAATACTTGAGGACATCATCAGCTGCCTCCCAGGATGCACAAGAGCAGGAAGCTGTATTGAACAGAGGAACTGGAACTCAAAACCAGGTACTCTGAAATGGTATGCAGGTATCCCAAGCAGTGACCTAACTCCTGTGCTAAACACCTAGCCTGTGTGTATTTCTATACACTAAGATGAAAAGAGTCTCCAAATGGGAAATTATGAAAGCAATTAGATTTACAGTAGCATCAGAAAGGATAAACTACTATGGAATTAACTAACATGGTGCAAGACGTGTGCAATAAAACAACAGAATATGTTCAAAGAAATTAAAGACATAAATAACATGTCCCACTTTTATGGACTAGAAGTCTTATTTTTAAGACATCCATACAAGGGGCTGGTGCTGTGGTGCAGCTATGGCACCAGCATCCCATATAGGTGCTAGTTCACGTCCTGGCTGCTCCGCTTCCTATCCAGCTCCATGCTAATGTGCCTGGGAAAGCAGCAGAAGACGGCTCAAGTACTTGGACCTCTGCACCCATGCGGGAGACCCAGATGGAGTTCCTGGCTCCTGGCTTTGAATGGGTCCAGCTCCGGCTGTTGGGGTCATTTGAGGAATGAGCCAGCATATGGAAGATCTCTCTCTCCACCTCTCTACCTCTCTCTCTGTGACTCTGCCTTTCAAATAAAATAAATAAATATTAAAAAAATTATGTCCATATTGTCTTTAAGTGATCTTTAGATCAATGCACTCTATCAAAACTTTGTGTTTTTTTTTTTTTCAAAAATAGAAAAACTCATCCTAAAATTCACATGGAATTTCAAAAGACTCAGAATATCCATACAGCTTGGTTGTATCTTGGAGTATCTGATGTCAAAACTTACTACAAACCGTAGTAATCAAACAGTAATACTGACATAAAGACAAACACATAGACGAATGAAATAGAGATCTCAGAAATAATTCTTTAAATATATGGTCGAATAGGGATTAGTATTATGCTGTAGTGGATAAAGCTGCCACCTGCAATGCCAGCATCCCATTTAAGGGTGCAGATTTGAATCTTGGATGTTTTGTTTCTGATCCTGCTTTCTGCTAACATGCCTGGGAAAGCAGCAGAAGATGGCCGAAGTGTTTGGGCTCCTACACCCACATTGGGAGACCTGGATGAAGCCCCTGGCTTCTGGTTTCAGCCTGGCCCAGCCCCAGCTGTGTGGCCATTTGGGGACTGAACCAGCAAATGGAAGATTTCTTTATCCTTCCCTCTCTAATTTTGCCTTTCAAATAAATAAGATAAACCTTAAAGATAAACAAATAAATAGTCAATTAATTTTTTATAAGAATGTAAAAAATGTTTAATTGGGAAAGGACTGTCTTTTCAACAAATTGTGCTAGGAAAACTAGATATCCACATGGAAAAGAATGAAGTTCGATCCTTACCTAATATTATATATAAAAGTTAACTTGGGCCCGGTGCTGTGGTGTAGTAGGCTAAACCTTTGTCTACAAGGCTAGCATCCCATATGGGCACTGGTTCGTGTCCCAGCTGCTCTTCTTTGGATTCAGCTCTCTGCTTATGGTCTGGGAAACCAGTGGTGGATGTCCAAGTGCTTGGGCCCCTGTACTCACGTGGGAGACCTAGAAGCAGCTCCTGGCTCCTGTTTCAGATTGGTCCACCTCTGGCCGTTGTAGCCATCTAGGGGGTGAACCAGGCAATGGAAGACCTCTCTGTCTCTCCCTCTCTCTGTCTGTAGCTATGCTGCTCAAATAAGTAAATGAAATCTTAAAAAAAAAAAAAAAAAAGACTCAAAATGGATCAGAGATCCTACACAGAAGATCTAAATCTATACAACTCTTAGGAGAAAACACATGAATAAGTATCCATGACCTTGAAATAGACAGTGATATCGGATATGACATCAAAAGCATAGGCAAAGAAAAAATAGACAAACTGGACTTAATAAGAATTTTTTTAAATTATAAATCAGAATACAATATCAAGAAGTAAAAAGGCCATTCATATAATGGCAGTTAGTATTTGCAAATCATATATCTGAGAGGGGATTAATACTCAAAAAACACAGACTGCTTAAAACTCACCAACCCCCCCCCCCAAAAAAAAAAAAAAAACAACTAACAATACACCTTTTTGGTACCATTATTTTATGGACTGTGAGATCAGTTTTTACTTTAGCTCTGATAATACATTCAAAATGATTATTGATCAGAGGTGTCACCATTGTCATGAAATAATTCATATTGTCTTCATAGTACATGTTGGTCATACAGAAGACTGCCACAGTTTTCAGTGGGGCATGATGAAGGGAGATCATACGGTAGATACCTACTCGAGCTCTGCTGGCAATGAGCTGTGTGGCTTAGAAAAATAACTTATCCTGGGGCTGGCACCATGGCATAGCAGGTAAAGCCATCACCTGCAATGCCGGCATCCCATATGGGCACTGGTTCAAGTCCTGGCTTCTCTACTTCCAATCCAGCTCTCTGCTATGGCTTGGGAAAGCAGTAGAGGATATCCTCTCTGAGCCTCAGGGCCTCATTTGCCCTTTCTATGAAATGCTTAGTAAAATATTTAGAATATTATTGGAAGGATTAAATTTAGCATGCCTGGCACACAGCGTGTATTTTAATGGTGATTATGCTTTGCTGCTACTTTGAGGAAATTACTTATTTCTAGAAAGAAACTCTCCCATCATTTTCAGAACAACACCTAATATGAACTGGTCTTCTATACTCCATTTCTTTTCAATTTTACTAGACCGTAGAACAATGGTTCTAGATTTATATGGCTGTAATGGGATTTGACTTTGTACATTGTAAAGTTGTGTAATCCTGATAAATTAAGAAATATTCCCTCTTGGCAAATAAGCTTTAACCTCAAACAAACCCACATATCTTTGGATCCAAAAGCAACACTGGATGTCATTATGGCTTTTGCCAACTACTGATGAATCACAAAGCCAAGAGTGGCCCCCTTTGACCCCATCATTCAGGAGCTGAAATGTATGCTCTGACTCACCTGACCTGGTTGAGACTCCTCCATTCATGGCCTCCAGAGCCCTGTTCTGTAGCAAAGCTCCCACGGCACTAGTAACAGTTGGTTCCTTTTTGGGACCCATCTGAGCCCTACCCTACAGAGAGAGACAGAGAGTACAGGCCTGTAACTTCAGGTGTGACCCATAGGTAAGTTTCCACTTCACCAGTAGTGGACTGGTGGCATCTTCAGAGACCCCTTGTACGCAGGGGAAAGGGGTAGATACACATGCTGAGTCCTTCCTCTCTGCTGATACTCAAAGCCTTATCTGGTTTTGGAGGTTTCATTCTATAATTGAGACTGTGGGGTTGTTTTATCCTATAAAATCAGTTGTTTGGAGACGTAAGAAATTACTTAATGCCAATAAGGATAAGGATTATTTTTTTCATTATACTTGAAGATGATTTTGGCAGGCAGCAAATGTTTCAAGTACGGAATTTCAATACCCCCAAGGCTGTCCCCACCCCTGCAGAGCAGCAACAAAAGGGTTATAGTAAAACAAAGTAAGGACCCAAAGGTTCCTGACAAACTCCTTTTCTCCTTGCTACTGACCCTACCTCCCATTCCACAGAAGCTACAGTACAAAGAAACCTGTTACTACAAGTGAGAACTTGCCTGGGCAAGGATGGCTGTGAGATAGTAGCAAGCAGCTCATCTTCATCCAAAGAAAGTAAGTTATTCTCAGAGGGTCCACAATGGTCTCTTTTGGTTAGGGCATGACACATTTTTAAAGGTGATTATGCTGAAAATAGAAACCCCTTTCGGCTGGGTTGTTAACAGCCTTTCCAAACCAAACACAAAACAAAACCAAAAAACAAGACTCCCTTATTGCATTTCTGAAAACACCTCACTATTAGGCAAGGCCCCAAAGTGGTGAAGCTGGCACAAGTGAAGCAAAAACTGATGTTCAGATATTCTACAATGAGTGAAAGAATTCAGAAAGCAGGCAATTTTTTTCTTCTGTGTTCCCAATCTCCACTTAGCCCTGGAACAGGGCCAAGTCACTGGTTACACTCAGGACAGCCAGCTGGCCTTTTTCCGTTTGCTGCTTCCCTGTGTTCTCTTTGGCCCCACTGATGCGGACTAACTTTGAGGGCTGCTTGGAAGAACCATTTGCAGAAATGTAACTTTCCTTCCACTGTTTTACACAGTAGACGGAGACTTAGAGACTTTTCCAAAATTAGGTTGAATTCAAGACCGCAGCAGTCATATCCTTCCAAAATTGAAGTGCCATTCCTTCCAAGAAGAGCGAGCTACTGGAGAAGAGTAGGAGGACAGGGTGATGTGAAAAAGAGAAAGGTCAGAGGAAACCTATGAGCAAGGCACTGAGCTGAGCACTGTGCTCATCTTATCCACAATCCTCCCAACAACTCAGTAAGGTGCACATGATCAACACTGTTCTATAGCTACCTTGTCCAGCTTCACTTACAAATAATTATACGGTTGAAATGCAAAGCTTGACTACTGAGTGCACTATCCTTGCCCTTTCCACTTTATACTCCTTCCCATGCTATCTTAGGTATAAAAAAAAAGAATCCACTGCCCCCCAGCAGAGATATCTCCCCTCTCTTGTGCCCCTTTAGCCAGATTAATAGTACGAGTATTTCTACTCCAAAATCTAAAATGCTTCAAAATCTGAAACTTTTGGAGTGTTGACATCACATCATAACTGGAAAATTCCACAGCTGACCTCATGTGATGGGTTGTAGTTATAATGCAGGTGCACTAAGGATAGTCTGTAAAATTATCGTCAGGTTACATGCATAAGGTCTATTTGAAACAAATTTCATGCTTCTCAGGGCATCTCATTACGTAGTCACATAGGCAACATTCCAAAATCTGAAAGAACCCTGCTCCCAAGCAGTTCAGATAAGAGATACTCAACTTATGCTTCCATCTACCTAAGTGCCAATCCCCACCTTTACCCTGTAGCCAACCGTTTTCTCAGTCTCATCAGTTCTCTTTTAAATTCTTCCTTCCCCACAAACCACATTAGCCCTCCTGCTCCAAGCCCTCATTCCTTCCCTGTTGCTCTACTCCTGTCTGGTTCCCCACTAATCCATTTTGAGCAATAATTACAAGAGTGACCTTTCTAATAAGCCAATTCGATGCTACTCCGATCTGCAGTGTTTAACACGCCTATACAGCCCGCAGAATGGCATGAGGCTGTAACAGACAATTGCACAGAAAAACCAAGAAAGCCAATGTGCAGAGAGAGGAGCAGGCAGAAGCCTTGCAGGAGGAAGACAGGACGCCCAGGTTGGAAGGAGGTCTGCCTGAGTCTCCCTGGACTTTCCAGTCCCTGCTTCCAGGCTGTTGGCCTGGTGGTCCTCAGATTTTACAGTATTTATCAACTCAATTCCCTTTCACTCCTCTTTGAACTGGCTTGAATTAAAGCCCTTCTAGATCTGCTGCTCGTCTTACTTGTGCCATCCCAACACTCTCCCATAAGCATTAGCCCCATAGGTGGGTGCCTCAGGCTGCAAGCTGGGTGTTCTGTGTGTAATGTCCTTCCTGACTCCAGCTGTAAGCCACCAAGCTCATTTTGATATTTAAGGGGAAAAATGCCTGAAACCTTTGAAGACTCCCTGGAATCACACGGGCTGCTTCTTCTAGGACCCTCCTATACACATCAACTGTACCACCTTTGTACCGCATTGTTTCCCAGACCTGCCAATTTTATCTTTTCTTGGCGTCTGAGCCATGTTTATGAGCATAGCAGTTCATATGCTACACTGTAAACCACGTCCCTGGGACTTCTGGAGCTGGCTGCTGCCTCCAGCTCTATCTGCATTTATAAATCTGCTGTCTTCCAGCTCAGGTCGTTGCTTCACCTATTTGTAACATCTGCTTCCATTCATCCACACCCTTTGGCCTTGCTGATTGTGTGGTTTTTGAATAAAAGGCTATGACTCCTCCTGTCCTGAGCAAAACACACAGCCTGTAGGGTACCTTCCTTGTGACAGCTTTTCCAAATCAGGCCCATTTCACTTCAGACTTGCAGTTCAGTTCCGGGTGATGAAGGCTACATCCACCATTGGATAAAGAGTTTCACCATAATGCTACAGGAACATTAATTTCATATTCATGTCTTCATCCCAGGATGCTTCAAACAATTTAGAAATATTTTCTCTGTAATACCCAATGTTGCTATCAGCATAAAAGCATTCCCACAAGAGAAGCCAACTCCCGTGGATCAGCTTTCTTGATGCTTACACTTCTTAGGTAAGCAATTGAGGTTCCCTAGCAAATTCTACCTGCTTCCTCCAGGCATGCAAGGACGTAAGAGCCAACTCCTGGGGAGAGAGATTTACCTGAGCTCTGGATGCCAGCTTGGCTGCTGTCTGGGCAGGATTGAAGACTCGGCGAGAAGACTGATCCTTGCAGAAATTAATATGTCGTTGGGCTGCAGTCTCATTAAATCTCCTCATGCAATAGGGGCATTGAATATAATCTGTATGTAAAGATGATAACAAATGGCTATTAGCATTTCAACAACCACTATGGAATGGACTGTGTGAAGTGAAATTCGTGGAATATGAACTGTGCTCTAACATGAATGACTTGATCCTAAACTGGTTTGAGATCCTATTCCAGAGCAGAAACTTGGAAGAGATCAAATAAAGGGGAAAATTTTACCACCTGCACACTCATTTCAATTAAGAATGTGCCCTTAAACTGTCGAAATCTTTACTTAGTATATACTAAATTGATCTTCTGTATATAAAGATAATTGAAAATGAATCTTGATGTGAATGGGATGGGAGAGGGAGTGGAAGATGGGATGGTTGCGGGTGGGAGGGAGGTTATGGGGGGAAAAAGCCGTTATAATCCTAAAGTTGTATTTTGGAAATTTATATTTATTAAACAAAAGTTTAAAAAAAGAATGTGCCCTTAAAATGTTTACATATTTTTTAGAAAATAGATTAATTATACTTAGGAACTTTCAAATCAAATGAGTTGTTAAGTAAATTAAATGTACAGAAAGCAGTCCTGGAATCACAGAATATTAGCACAAACAGCATGGAAGGACAGAGAAGATTCAAAAGTCAAGACTGCGGGGCCGCGCTGTGGCGCAGCGGGTTAACATCCTGGCCTGAAGCGCCAGCATCCCATATGGGTGCCGGTTCGAGACCCAGCTGATCCATTTCCGATCCAGCTTTCTGTTGTGCCCTGGGAGAGCAGTGGAGGATGGCCCAAGTCCTTGGGTCCCTGTACCCACTTGGGAGACCTGAAGGAAGCTCCTGGCTCCTGGCTTCAGATCAGCGCAGCTCTGGCAGTTGCAGCCAATTGGAAAGTGAACCTTAAGATGGAAAACCTCTCTCTCTGTGTAACTCTGACTTTCAAATGAATTAAAAAAAAAAAAAAAAAGTCCAGGCTGTGGGGTTGGTGCTGTAGTGCAGCAGGTTAGGTTGTGGCCTGCAGCACCCGTATCCCATGTGGGCACCAGTTCAAGTCCTGGCTGCTCCACTTCCAATCCAGCTCCCTGTTAATGCTCCTGGGAAAGCAGCAGAAGATGGCCCAAGTGCTTGGACCCCTGCACCCACTTCAACCAGGCACTTGATGTGGACGTGAGCAACATTAAAAGATCAACTTTTCCAGGCACTTGACCGGGATGAAATTCCTGGCTTCTGGCTTCAGCCTGGCCTAGCCCCAGCTATAGCAGACATTTGAGGAGTTAACCAGCCGATGCTTTCATGTCTGTCTCTCCTTCTCTCCAGCTCTGCCTTTCAAATAAATATTTTTTTAAAAAAACATAGAGAGAAGGAGAGGCAGAGAGAGGGAGAGAGGGAGAGAGGGGGAGAGAAAGAGTGAGTTCATTCTTCCATCTACTGGTTCACTCCACAGATGGCTGCAATGGCTGGAGCTGCACCAATCCAAAGCCAGGAGCCAGGAGCTTCATCTGGGTCTCCCATGTGGGTGCAGGGGCCCTGGCTTGGGCCATCTTCCACTGCTTTCCCAGGCCTCAGCAGAGAAATGGATAGAAGTGGAGCAGCCAAAACTTGAACCAGCGCCCATATGGGATGTCAGCACTGCAAGCGGCAGCTTTACCCACTATGCCACAGTGCTGGTCCCACAAATACATCTTAAAAAAAAAAAAAAGCCCAGGCTAAGGAACTGGGGGAGACGGATGGTCATGCACAAGTTAGAGGGGTACAGAGGGAAATGAGATTTACTTCCAAAAGATAGGTGTGGAACCAAATGTTGTCATGTCCCTGGCAGAAAGGCACACCTCTTCTCCAGTGGCTATATTTTTTTCCACTCAATTACTAAGTAAGGAGGCAAATACAATGGAAGGATTCTCAAAAAATTCATGGGAACTAGACTTGTCTATGTGCTCCCTTTGACTCCCAGTCCCTTCACCATGACCAACTGTGAACTGAAACTGATCACCTGGAACAGTGAGATGGCATTGGTACATGCCACCTCGATGGGATTGAATTGGAATCCCCTGGTATGCTTCCAACTCCACCACTTGGGGCAAGTCAGCCTGAGCATGTCCCAAATTATACATCTCTTCCCTCTCCCATTCCCACCACCATGTTCAACAGGGATCACATTTCAGTTAATTTTCAACACTTAAGAATAACTGTGCATCAATTACAGATCTAAACCAGTCATATTAAGTAGAACAGATAAAAAAAACTACTAAGAGGGATAATGTATTTAGTTGTTCATTAACAGTCAGGGCTATGCTGATCAAGCCACCATTTCCCATAGTGTCCACCTCACTCCAACAGGTTTCCCTCTTGGTGTTCAGTCAGTCGTCACCGATCAGGGAGAACATATGGTATTTGTCCCTTTGGGACTGGCTTATTTCACTCAGCATGATGTGTTCCAGATTCCTCCATTTTGTTGCAAATGACTGGATTTCGTTGTTTCTTACTGCGGTATAGTATTCTAAAGAGTACATATCCCATAATTTCTTATCCAGTCTATCGTTGATGGGCATTTAGGTTGGTTCCAGGTCTTAGCTATTGTGAATTGTGCTGCAATAAACATTAGGGTGCAGACCTCTTTTTTGTTTGCCAATTTAAATTCCTTTGGGTAAATTCCAAGGAGTGGGATGGCTGGGTCGAACCGTAGGTTATCTACGACCTTGTCTAAACAAGATAAGAGTCGGAGAACTCAGAGGGCTTCCATAGCCTTGGAAACTCATGACTGGAGCATAGGGAGATTACTGATGCCATAGACAGGAGTGTCAATTGGTAAAGTCAACAACAGGAGTCACTGTGCACTTACTCCTCATGTAGGATCTCTATCCTTAATGTGCTGTACATTGAGATTTAATGCTATAACGAGTACTCAAACAATATATTTCACTTTGTGTTTCTATGGGGGTGCAAACTGTTGAAATCCTTACTTAATGCATACTAAACTGATCCTCTGTTAAAAAAAAAAAGAAATTATCAATTCCCAACTTGACTCTCACTGGGATTAAACATGACAATAGGTCTGCTCTGATTTCATCATCATTTAAAAAAATCATCTATTATTTTTCACTTTATGTTTCTGTGTGGGAGCAAACTGTTGAAATCCATACTTAATGTATACTAAGCTGATCTTCTGTATATTAAGATAATCGAAAATGAATCTTGATGTGAATGGAAGGGGAGAGGGAGTGGGAAAGGGGAGGGTTGTGGGTGGGAGGGACGGTATGGGGGGGAAGCCATTGTAATCCATAAGTCGTACTTTGGAAATTTATATGCATTAAATAAAAGTTTAAAAAAAAATTCATGGGAAATATGTATTAGAAAATTATGTATGTGGACTTCTAAGATTTTTTGCACCAATATAGAAATGATCTTATAATTTCATTTTCCATGATTTTTTTTAAAAAGATTTTATTTACTTTATTTGAGAGGTAGAGTTATAGACAGTGAGTGGGAGAGACAGAAAGAAAGGTCATCCATCCGCTGGTTCACTCCCCAAATGGCTGCATGGCCGGAGCTGCACCGATCTGAAGCCAGGAGCCAGACGCTTCTTCCTGGTCTCCCATGTGGGTGCAGGAGCCCAAGCACTTGGGTCATCCTCCACTGCCTTCTCAGGCCACAGCAGAGAGCTGGACTGGAAGAGGAGCAACCGGGACTAGAACCAGTGCCCACATGGGATGTCGGCACCGCGGGCGGAGGATTAACCCACTGCGCCACAGTGCCGGCCCCTCTGTGAACTTTTTGAAGTCCCTGCCACTCCCCCATATATTCAGGAAGGTGATAGTGAAAGGATAAAAGCTCTGAGGTTAAAAAATAGAAAACAGGAATAAGAAAATAAAAAATAGTTAAAAAATAAAAAACAGGAATAGTAAAGTAATCCAGAAACAGCTTCAGCTTCCAGTGACACCACATCCCAGCCTGTCAGCCCCAGGTCCTCTGTTGGTCATAAACCACATTTTTGTCTAAAATGTTCTTTCATTTGCAGTTACCAAACATAATTGGTTAGTGAGAAAAATGGGCTGTTAGAAAGATGCAAGGCCTTGTTAGGACTTGGAGCTGCTATAGTAAAGCTAGATGGCAGCCGCCAGTCTAAAACAGCAGACACTGCAGTTCCTTTGTTTTGTTTTGGGTCACCTTGAAGGAATAACCAAGTGGATGTGAGTGACATTAAGAGTAACTTTTCTTCCAAAAAGGGTCTTAGACTGCATCACAACTGAAAACTCAGTATGAAAGTTGGAATTATTGTAAAGTTAAAATTCTTACATATGTGAATAGATATTTAATACAAAGATGTTTTCAAAACTAATAGTTTTTGGTAAGCCATCGTCTTACAGTTTGGAGAGTTTTCTATTTGAACAAATCAGATCTTGAAATGATTATCCATAAAATATAAGAACTGTTAGCACTGGTGTAAGCATGTGGGGCAGTGATTAAATTGCTGTTGGGATGCCTGCGTCCCACGTCCCAGTGCCTGGCTGCAGTCCTGGCTACTCTGCTTCTGATCCAACTTCCTGCAGTTGCAGGTGATGGCTCAAGTAACTGCATCCTTGCCACCCAGGAGGGAGACCCAGATTGAGTTCCAGGCTCCTGGCTTCAGAGTGCTCCAGCTCTTAGCTATTGTAGCCATTTAGGGAGTCAGCAAGTAGAATTGAAGATCACTATGATTGTTGCCCTCTTTGCTCTTTCCTCCCTCTCTCTCTCTTCCCCCACTTTCAAATAAAATGAAAATATAAATTTTTTTTTCAAATGCTACTGCTTAGAAATTCTCTAGTTGCCTTACCCTACATTTCCCATTCTGAAAAGCAGCATATAATCATCACATTGAACTTTACTGAACACCTACTATGTGCCAGGCACTGTTGTATACCTTGGAATGCAGTATCTCCACAATCAAGATGTAAGCATTTTAATACAGAAATTAAAATTTCACATGGTGATAAATGTCAAAAGGAAGAAAGGAAGGAAGGAAAGGAGGGAGGGAGTTAGGGAGGGGAAAAAAACAGGCCAGCACTGGGAGAGG